TGTTGCCTGATGATTGCTTGTTGCATGAAACTTAAAGTAGCAACTTATTCAATTGAAAAATTGTATTAAAATATTAAATTATTATATATATATATATATATATATATATATATATATAGGGAAAGCAATAAATTTACTATTCGGTGAACAAATAGTTCCTATAATAATAACCTATAAAACTGAATATTTACTTTAAATATTCCTTAATTTAATATACTTCTTAATAAACATCTTAAACTTCAAAATTTTCAAATACAACGACATTTCTATACTTATTTAGTTGAACAAACGTCATGCGTAGCGTATCAAACTCCAAAACGTAGCTTTTCATCCGACAGAAAAATATACCGAATCTACACAGAGAAAACAAGAATGTGCCTAATATTTAAGCTTTTGGCTTGAAAAGAAATCCTAATCCGTACAAAAAGAACGGGAAACCCTTGACTGTCCCGGGGAGAGAGAAAAATATAGTAATATATACGAACAAGTTGAAACACATAAAAATGATTAGTTATATTTTTTTAAAATCTGACCCAACTAATTTCATGCATGGGCTAACTTACAGTAACATGTATACGTGTTGAGTGTACCTAAGATATTTTGGTTGGCATACATATTCTCACGAGTCTGGCTAATAATACTGAGCAAAAAATACACAAATCTCATGTAATCTTCGCTAGTCGAAAAACGAGTAATATATCATAATGCAAATAATAATATATGTACTATTTAAAGCACGAGTAGGAGTGTTTTATCACATATAAAACACGACGCGTAGCGGAGTGTTTTATATGTGATAAAACACGACTACGAGTGCTTTAAATGGCCTAAAAAACGACCCATCTTCTGATGAGTACATTAGCGAAGTAATTTTTAAAATAAACTTTGTCTAAACCGAGAAAATCAAAGCTAAAATTTATGTAAATTAACATGATTTTTTATCACATATAAAACCACGACACGCTTATGATTTTTCTTTGCGTTTTGCTCCTGAATTATTAAAAATGAGTTTTTTAAATATATATACAAAACTTAAGGGTGTCCAATTTCAAGTCTATGTTCGTCAAGTCTGTCGTTATCCAGAATTTGAAGTTATAGCAATATCTGCGTCATGTTCGTACTTTCAACCACGGGGGTTTCCAAACGGTATCCTCCGTGATGAGAGACATATATTTACCACTTGGATTGTAGCTGAGAATTGTGGTAATGGCATTCCCGACATTGTAATATTCGGCTGGAAAGTAAACTTGATTTGAAAAGTGATCATCTGCCTGAACGATGGTCCCAGAAACTGCGGCTACAAGTTTAATGACGAACAACAACGCCCAAAAACATTGACAATTCATCAGGCCGTTCTTCCACCAGTTGTCAGAAATATATAATTTTATTTCGTTTTTCTACGCGAGGTAGGGAAACGTTTACAATCAATCTCTAATAACTATCAGTTCTAAGTGTTCGTCTTCTTGCAGTAGTTTTCCAAGAGTTCACTTCAGCCTTCAACTGGCTTTCACTGTTTGTGATCTGTTGTTCGTTAATTTCTTCGTTTTGTCTTGTTTCGTTTGAGCTTTCTACAACTTTTCATACATAATTTTTACTTCGTTGAGTCCACTGACGAATTTGGGTTGTGCACGCCCTTTTATACTAACGGTTGAGGGATCTTTGTCCACGTGATGTAGCAAGTGGTGTGATTTGTATCCAGTCAATCAATGTTGAGGTTTAAAAGTGTGGGTTGGCGTTGGTAGCTCGTTCCGGCACTCAAATTCTGTTTATTTAAGGCGTTGTCGCACTTGTCGAGTTGGTTCGCTGTTCAATCGATCAATAGAAAGATTTAGAAAAGACGACGCGACCTCAAATACGACGTGGATATCGTCATTTGGCGCCACTGACTATCGTCAGCTTCTGGTTTGCCACGTCGTCTTGGACTATTTCACGACGCGAAAATGCAATTTTCACGTCCTCTATAGAACGTCACAGATTTATGCTTCTTTTGAAAAAAATATGAGAGCGTATGCATGATAAAAATCACCCTATTTTGTTCCCCATGTATTGTTCAATGATTCTAGGTAATGGTTTTTCATTGACAAGGTTGTTTTTCTAGTATTTCGCTAAATTTTGAACGTGTTAATTTTTGACAAATACTTTCGGTCGCCATAACAAATCAACAAAACTGCAAGCATTTTGTTGTATACAATTGTATGCCCATTTTTGGGGGGAGGGACATTCAGGTCTAAGTGATTTTTTAGTGCAGGTTATTGACGTCACGAACGTTAATAACCCCACTGAGAGGGAGAGCTTTTGGATTGAGAAACTTAATAGTTATGTCCCACGTGGGCTTAATTTAAGGGAAGCTAGAGGTTTAATTAATTTATGTATAGCTAAACGTTAGACTATTTAAGCAAGAGACGGAGATGATGTAGCGTTATTCTGAAGAAGGGGCTTGTCCCCGAAACGTAAAAAATATAATTTAATTACTTTGAAGTTTTTGATTTCTTGATATTTTTATATATATATATATATATATATATATATATATATATATATATATATATATATATATATATATATATATATATATATATATATATAATCATGAAATATTTACTGAATGTCATAAACATACTCGTTTATATTAATTCAGCATCGAACAATACTAGTTCTGTTTTATTGTTCGATGCTGAATTAATATAAACGAGTATGTTTATGACATTCAGTATAAATTTTATGATTTCCAGTCTTGGGTCCGTCTGACTGTGTAGCTCAGTTGGTAGAGCGTCGATCTAGTAATTCGAAGGTCGCGGGTTCAAGACCCAGCCGCGACAGACAGCGTCTTTCTGCTTGCGCTGGGTATGGAAATTATATAATACACACTCTAGAACATTTTCATCTTAATATATCTATATATCTATATATATATATATATATATATATATATATATATATATATATATATATATATATATATATATATATATATATATATAGTATTTTATAATACTTATACAAAATATCATAGTAAAATCTTCAACCTATACCTATGTGAACCTTACTTACCTATACTAACCTAAATTTACTTACAATTTTATTGAACCAAGATTTTGATGACGTAATGTTATAATTACTCAACCGCGCGAAATATACCGATGAATGATTGACAGAAATGCCCTAAGCATGCACATTTTCATGTCAAAGAAGAACCAGCCTTGGACTTTGAATTATGTAAACACAACAGCCCACCATGCAAGGTTATCGTCCATCTTTGACAAATTGACGAGTTATCTATCTTGCCTAATGGACAAATAATTGACATTTTTACGCAAGTCCGAAATGAGATATACTTTATCTGCGTTTTACAGCAAAAATGCTCGTTATCTCTCCATTTGACGTAACTAGTATCTATAATTACCTGGGGTGCAAACTGAACTATTTTTATACCATTTTTAATACTGTCGTAACACAGCTATAAGATGCTGGGTTATATTCGAAGATCAACTTTAAATATTCATGAGTTTGCAAAGGACCTATTCCCTAATGTACAAAATTTTTATCTAGACAAGTCTAGACAGCAATTTCATCATAGCTTGAAAGAGCGTCACAAAATTAGTATTATTCTGAAGTTTCGTTGTAAAATGTTGATAATACGTTTGCCGTTTTTCGGTCATTTTGTATTTTTACGCGTGGGAAATTGATATCTTTTTTCAGAAAGCGGTATCAATTTCCCGTGCATGCGTAATACAAAATGACTGAAAAACGGCAAACTTCGCAGGACTATATTATCCGCATTTTACAACATTTCGCAACGAAACTTAATTCGGAATATTACTAATTTCGTGATGTTCTTTCGAGCTTTCGAGTTGTCTAGACTTGTCTAGATAAAAATTTTGTTTATTAGGGAATAGGTCCATCCGACGAAAGCTGTACCTTTCTCTGGTTCGCTTACACTTAGGATAGGCCACCCAAGTATGGACGCCCCAAACAGTTGAGTTGGTGAAAAAAGTAGAACGAGTTCAGAGGCGTGCAACAAAATATATTTGAAATGTTCCTTTATTTGTGATATAGAATATATCGACCGACTCCTTGCAACCAGTTTGCTTCCTCTCAGCTACTGGCACGAATACCTGGACGTAATATTCGTCTATAAGGCAAATCACGACATTTTTAATATTGATAAAAAAATCCTTCCATTTCCTCAACCTCAGAATCAAAGACAGACAAGATCATTTAACCCCAACTCACACAAATATAAAATTCCAACATACAAGACGTCAACCTATGAAAAATCTTACAAAATCCGAGCAAGAACATGGAACACACTACCTATAATCATATTAAATCCAACATTTTCAGAATTCAAGAATCTTCTTTTTAAGTACTATATTTTTGCACTAGAAACTACATAAGATGTTGAGGATCCCCGTACATGGAAAAGTGCGTGTATAAAATGTAAGTCCGCCCGGAGTTTAACGAGCTCTCCATTGACCGGCTGTTTTTAGACTTAATGCATGCGCAATGACTGCAGTTGTTCAGTGTATTGTTTATTGTGTGTGCTTAGTATACCTTGTAAATTGTTTTCGTTATTGGGGCTGCTGTAATTGGCAATAGCTGTTGTGCATGGTTTTCCAGCCAATGAATGTATAAGTATATGATGGCAAAGTAAATAAATAATAAATGCAAGTTATTCAAAATTTAAAATTTTATAAAATAAATTACTATTCATTCAGACAAGATTTCTTGAAAAATATTTCCATGTTTGTAAAGAAGCTGTTGAGGAGATAACTTTGTTAACCTAGGATTAGGTTAACCGGTTCTCGAACAATCGGCCCCAATTCCACATGGGGTACGATTTGCTCGACAGTCAGTCTTGAAAACGAAGATTGACACTCATATAACAACAGAGGTTATTGGTTCTATAAATCTCATTTCATTTTTTTTCAGGTCATTCTGGGATTCGGTTCGAGGATGCTACTTTCGAAGCAGCACTTGATTTCAATGCCCTTTTAGAAATGGTTAAAAAATCTCGCTCTTTCTCTTGCTGTCTGATCGAGTGCTGTACCATACTTGAATCATTACTTCGCATTTTCCAGCCAGAGAATTCCACACAACAGCGTACTCAATTACAGATACTAAAAGAACTCGGCTACCTGTACCTTGAAACCACTGACTATCCAAAATCAATCGAGTACGCCCAGAAGCTTCTACATTTGGCCGACACGTTGAACGTTCAGAATTTCAAAGCAGATGCCGATAACCTACTTGGTACCAACTACGCCCATCAGGACTCGTTCGAGAAAGGACTGTTGCACTTAGACGCATATGAGCAATACTGCCATGAGACCGCTGACGAGTTGGGCAAAGCCAACATATTGTTGATGCGGTCCAAAATTGCTCGTCAACGTCACGAAGATGAAATATCTTTACGGTATGCAAAGGATTTTCTGGATAAAGCTAAAACAGCGAACGATGAAATAGTTGAAACTAAGGCCCTGGTTAATCTTGCTGATGCACATTTGCGTCTTTTTAACATACAACAGAGCTTACACTTTTCCGACAAATGTCTGCAATTAGCTAAAAAAATCTGTCATGTCAAAATGGAGATGGAAGGCAAGTTTTCAAAGGCCACTGCAATTCTAGTGTTGGGAGAAAATGAGAAAGCGTATATTATGCTCATGGAATGCCTTAAGTTCCTTGAAACTCATCACAAGAATAAAGATTTAGAATATGGAACCTTGGTGTTGAACAACATTAGCTATGCAGCCCTTCGTTTGAGCCAGAAGTACGATAGCAACAAGCTGAGGGAAGAGGCCTTGGTATTTATCCAGAGATCTCTATCGATTGCCGAATCCATTAATGTTCCTAGTGATGTTGCCCTCGCTCATTTAAATATGGGGTTGGCGCTTATGGAAGGTTACGAAGATTATGACAACGCCATAAAACATTTTGACGAATGTTTAAGAATTGGAGCGGAATTGAAAGGCACCAGAATTATTCATAACTGCAACTGCAGCCTCGGTAGGTTATACGAAGCCAAAGGAGAAAGACGGATTGCAAAGGAGTATTTCACGAAAGCACTAGAAACAAAAGACCCACCTTGTACTCACTGGGGTGAGGCAGACAATCTACAATTCAGCCCCGACTACTGGCTGGCATTACAGCACATCGATGAGAAAAAGTGGAAAGACGCGGAGAAATGCCTTCAAGGAGTGATTCAAAGATGCAAACGTCAAGGCAAGAGTGTCAACGACAGCCTTCTCAAAATATCCTTCAACGACAAGTTGACACAGCCATACCAGTATTTACAATATGCTTATCTCGAAATGGAGGCCAATAAAGACGCTTTAGTCATTGGCGAAGAAGGAAGAGCACGAGATTTTTACGACAAAGTGGTTGACAGAAACGACAATGTTGCAGTTGAACCTGCACGCAACCCAGATCTGTTAAAGATCTTCAAGGCTCACAATACAGCCGCGTTATTTTTATCTCAGCTGACTGTCGTAGGTCGAGTGTATTGTTGGTTGATTGGAAGCGATAGTAGAATCATACATGTATTTTGGGTGTCACAAGACAAGTGGAAACCATTGCACACCAAACTGTGTGTTGCCATGCACGAATTTGCAGTTCAGTGGGAAAATTCAGAGATATCCATTGAATACAGAGGAGTGGAGACGGTGGAAGATGACGCCGTAGTTTCATTTTCTGAGTATCTACAAAGCGGTAGCAAACACACCGAGTCTTCAATGGAAGACGCGCTCGAGAAGAAGGTTTTGGACCCAATTCCTATGTCAAAACATTTGTTCGACCCATTCGCTGAGAAAGAAATCAATGGAAGCATAACAGGGATCAATGAATCGATTCCAAGATCAATCCATAGCCCAATATCTCAAACACAACCATATTTTTCTTTGAGACGTGAGGCAGCAACAAGTTCAAAGAAAGATTCAACAAATCCAATCGAAGAGTTGTCGGAGATTACGAATGAAATAAGGTAAATTATTTTCAAGTGAAACTTTGGGAAAATTAATGTATTTCTAGATTATAGCTTCTAATATAAAAATAGATTAAGGAACTCGCATTTCGATAACGAAATAAATTGTTCTCGAATTCGTCTAAGAAAAGAGTCCAACTGTTTTGGGCTGCTTCTGATGTCGAAAAATTGATCCGTGCGGTAAATATTTCTTCCCATCAAAAATCTTTTGCCATTTCTTCAATTAAACATTCGAACTTCTGAATCTTTCAAAATTTGGCGCGACGATCCAATTCCAAATACATTGTTCCACATTAGTAATCGCTACGCCTCCGTACTTCATACCCGTTTTCGCCTGTTTCATTGTACCTTAAATCATTATTTGTTCTTAATAAATTGCGCGCCATCGCCATTATGTTCTTGTGGTTCTTTGACTGTGGCCGATACGATGCTCAACGCTATGTTCTTCTTGCTTCCGCTGCACATTAACTTGGTTCCAAATGGTTAAATTCAACAAGCAAAATGCGTTTATCATGGTTTTTGAACGGCCATCCTGACGTTGCGCCACAAACAGATGCTAATCTTTTTCTAATTCTTCAAAACTTTATTGTGAACTCTTTTTCTAATTATTCAAAACTTTATTGTGAACACTATAAACGCTTTCGTTAAAGTCAAGAACACTTTTCAGCCATGTGGAAATGTTAATTTTGTAAGATAGAAGACGCTGTTAATTCTGCAGGTGCATGGCGATGTGTGTGTCAAGATTTATAGTGATTATTTTTCTCATACGTTGCGACTATATATTTATTAATTTCACTGCAAACTATGCATTTATTGTTAGGCAAGCTTTCCCTAGATAAGCCTACGGCTTTTGGAAAAATTGCCATTTCTTCTTTTTTTTAAAATTAAATTAATATTGTTTATATGAAACTGACATGACCGATGTTTGATCTGCATACAGAAAATCTCCAAAGCAAATAAAATATATGTCCCAACCTAACTAACTTCAGCACTGGCCAATCCCAATTAAAACACTGGCGGGGCAGCAATAGGGGGGTGACACCCCCCTGAAAACGTCTTTTCGGCAAAATAACCGTTTTATCGCAAATCGTTTTCGTAATCATCGAATATATTTGAGTAGCTCGGATTAAAAAGTAATAGTTATAGCAAAAAATTTGATAAATTAACGAAAATTTTAAGAAATTACGGTACATGAATTGGAAAGTTAGTGAACAATAATTTTTTACCTAGCCTCTACTGCTACGGCCCTGGACACTGATTGCGCTAAATTTCGCATGACAATTTTCAGGCGAAGAGTTCATAAAATGTGTAATTTTTTTCTAATTAAGCGAGCTGTTTCTGAATCCAATTGAGCATCATTTAAATCAGATGATCAAAGCGTCCACAACTGGAAAACCCTCACTACTGATCATTCCACAAGAAAATACCTTCAATATTCCTTATGCAGCATTACGATTGAAGAATGGGAAATACCTTTGCCACCAAGTGACCTTACTCGAGGCATTCTCTTTACATTCGTTCATTCACTCCACCAGACGACCGGAATCTACCAAAGAGGACAGCGATCGAATGGAAGAATCACTTATCGTCGGGAATCCAACCAATGACCTCCCTGAACTGCCATGTGCTCAACAAGAAGCAGAAATGATTGCAAGGTTGCTTGGTGTCATCCCACTGATCGGGCGTTTGGCAACACGTAGTGAAGTAGTAAGTCGCCTTCCGTCAGCACCAATAATTCATTTTGCTTGCCATGGTAGTAATGATGGACGAAGCTTGTTTTTGGCGCCAGAAAAGGAATGGTAAGCAGTCTAAATATTTCTGTAATTTAAGCCATGGTCATAGAAATTGTTTGACCAAAATTTGGGAGACCGTGAACTGCGATGTTACGTTATTAGTTTGGACTTGCGAAGACAAACGATATACAGCTTTTCCACATGTTTCACTCAGTTATTCAGCCAACGGTCTCGCTACGGACTCATGTGAAAAGCCGTCAGCAACGCTCTGCCGAAACTCGTGTGTTTTCTCCGGGCGCTCCGGTTTCCTCCCACAGGGAAAGTTGACAGGGTGGGTTAGGATAATAATAATAATAATAAATAATAATAAATAATAATATAATAATAATGATTTAATAGCATTTCCACATAGTGGCTCTTCTATGCTACAAGTGAGTTTGATTATAGGATAACGAAGTATACAACACATACAACAGAGTACATAATACGACACAACAATACACAGTAAAATACAGTACAGTTAACACACTATATATACACACTTTATATAAACACAGTTAAGAAAGGGCTATTACTATAACAAGGAATGGGGAATCGGGGAAAGGAATCGGAGAACGGAGAATGGGGAATGGGGAATGGGGAATGCTAAAACCCGGAATACTAAAATGGGGAATCTCTAAAACACGGAATACTAAAAGCCGGAATCTCTAAAACACGGAATACTAAAAGCCGGAATCTCTAAAACCCGGAATACTAAAATGGGGAATCTCTAAAACCCGGAATACTAAAAAAAGGAATGTCTAAAACACGGAATACTAAAATGGGGAATCTCTAAAACACGGAATACTAAAAGCCGGAATCTCTAAAACCCGGAATACTAAAATGGGGAATCTCTAAAACCCGGAATACTAAAATGGGGAATCTCTAAAAGCCGGAATACTAAAAGCCGGAATCTCTAAAACCCGGAATACTAAAATGGGGAATCTCTAAAACCCGGAATACTAAAAGCCGGAATCTCTAAAACCAGGAATACTAAAATGGGGAATCTCTAAAACCCGGAATACTAAAAGCCGGAATCTCTAAAACCCGGAATACTAAAATGGGGAATCTCTAAAACCCGGAATACTAAAAGCCGGAATCTCTAAAACCTGGAATACTAAAATGGGGAATCTCTAAAACCGGAATACTAAAAGCCGGAATCTCTAAAAGCCGGAACACTAAAATGGGGAATCTCTAAAACCCGGAATACTAAAATGGGGAATCTCTAAATCCCGGAATACTAAAAGCCGGAATCTCTAAAACCCGGAATACTAAAATGGGGAATCTCTAAAACCCGGAATACTAAAAGCCGGAATCTCTAAAGCCCGGAATACTAAAAGCCGGAATCTCTAAAACCCGGAATACTAAAATGGGGAATCTCTAAAACCCGGAATACTAAAAGCCGGAATCTATAAAACCCGGAATACTAAAAGCCGGAATCTCTAAAACCCGGAATACTAAAAGCCGGAATCTCTAAAACCCGGAATACTAAAATGGGGAATCTCTAAAACCCGGAATACTAAAAGCCGGAATCTCTAAAACTCGGAATACTAAAAGCCGGAATCTCTAAAACCCGGAATACTAAAATGAGGAATCTCTAAAACCCGGAATACTAAAAGCCGGAATCTCTAAAACCCGGAATACTAAAATGGGAAATCTCTAAAA